ATGAAAAGATTAAATAAGACATGCAAGTAATATAAAACATCCAAAAAAAGAAAATTTAAAAAAAATTATTTTGACGTTTGAGCCCTCAGAAAGGATGTGAAGAACAATACCAAGAGTACCTCTGAGCCTTATCCTAACAAGTAAAACCTCAGTCTGTTTTTGTTTTCCTTCTGCCAACTTTCTTCCTCTCCCACCCTGATTTATTCTCCATCAATAGCAGGAACAAAAGTAAGACATGGGTTCAGTAGGCAGAACCCCATAAATCCTTCCTTTCCTCCCTCTCTCCCCTGTCTGCTACAGTGAGCTCCTAACTTGTGGGTATCTTTTTTGCTTGTTTGTTTCTTTGTGGCACCAGGGATCAAACTCAAGACCTTGTGCTTGCCAGGCAGGTGCTTATGCCACCAAGCTATATCCCCAGCCTTCTCCTCTGGTTTCTTTTCTTTTTTTTTTTGCAAAACCAGGGATTGAACTCAGGCCCTTGCGCTTGCCAGGGAAACGCTTATTCCACTGAGCCATCTTCCTGGCCAGCACTTTTTTTTTTTAATGTCCAAAATGCCTCCAGTCCCCTTGACACTGGGTCATGTGATGTTATTTCTTTCATATTAAAGCTGTTTTTAATGTTCTATAAAAAACGTTGTCTTATAATTTGTGCTCAGTGCCAAAGAATGGGTTAATACATAGAAGCATGATAGGGAACCTGTCCTTTCCTCATAGTTGAATGATTTTGAGCATCACTGTTTTGCCAGTAATGGTTTCCTTTCTATCCCTCCTCATCTAGCCCACAGAACCTAATCGCCCAGTCTCAGTCCGGCACTGGGAAAACAGCTGCCTTCGTACTGGCCATGCTCAGCCGCGTGGAACCTGCAGACAGACACCCTCAGGTGGGTGAGGTGGGGGTGTTGGCTCGCCTGTCTGGCAGGAGACACCTGCTGACCTCTCAGGCAGAATTCACTTGGAAGCTGCAGCCCCAAAAAAGCCAGGGCTCCCTGGGCTAGGCCTCCCCCAGACGCTTGACCCGCGGCCAGAAGGAGGGCCTGGCTGAGGAAGATGGGAGTTCTGGTTCCCCGTGCTGGTCACACCTGTAGTCTTACTAAATTCAGCCTTTCTGGTTTCTCCATCAGTGTCTCTGCCTCTCCCCGACATACGAGCTGGCGCTTCAGACGGGAAAAGTGATCGAGCAGATGGGCAAATTTTATCCGGAGCTCAAGCTTGCGTATGCTGTTCGAGGCAATAAATGTGAGTGTGAGGAATGTGACCTAAAGGGAGTGGGAGGGCTCAGTGTTGGTTTATGAGATGTGGGGATGTATTCAGCCTTTACTGCAGTCAGACCCTTGAGCTCTGCTGCATTGCTCTTAGCACAAGTACAGACATTGCCGGTTTAATGGCTGAGTTCTGTTACTGTGACTTGATTGCTAAATGAGGAATTATATATAGTGTGTACATCACGATATTTAGAACAAAGAAGTGGTCAGAGGACTAGGCAGTGTGTCACATACCTATAATCCCAGCCCTCTCAGTACTCAGGAGGCGGAGGCAGGAGCATCGCTGTGATTTCCAGGCCAGCCTGGACTACATAGTGAGTTCAAGGCCAGCCTGAACTATATAGTGAGACCCCATCTCAACGAAAAAAAAGAAAAGGTGAGTCAGAAGAAACTCCAACTGGATGACGTTGCTTTTATTTGCATAATTCTTACATGCAGTACTATAATGTATGACAAAACATGAAACTATAGTACTATGCAGTACGGTCAGCAAAAATTATAGTACTGTATAAACGAGGTATAAGGTATAAGAAAAGACACTAAGGCCCTATCAACAAGATGTGTAGAACTATAAAAAAGACAGGTCATAAGTTCAACTGGCATGCCCGAGTCGTGAGTCCAAATAGTTAAACAGGTAGTTCATTAAACAAGGAGTATCTGTACTTGTTGACTTGTTTACAGTTCTCTCCAATCTTTCCCCTGCTCCCAGTCCTAGGGTGCAAGCCCACCTTACACATGCTAAACAGACACTGCCACTGAGCTACTTTCTAGTCTGCCTTTTCTCTTCAGTCTTTAAGATTTTAAGTTGCTCAACGAAAACTCTGCCGTCCTCCTGGAGTTTGTTTCCCCTGTACTGGGAATTAAGTCCATTGCCTTCACACTGAGCTACATCCTTTATAAAAATAAGTTCTTACTAAGCTATCCAGGTTAGGATTAAACTTGTAATCCTCCTGCCTCAGCCTCCTATCCTGCAGGTCTCTATCTGGAGTTCTTCACTAAGAAGACAGTTTTGAGTTCTGGAACTTGCTTAGATTAACAGTATGGGGGTGGCAGGTTTCAGTCAGATTCCTTTAGCATTAAGTATCAGCTTTAGTAAATATGGGAGATCAAAAAAAAAAAAAAAAAACCTATGAATCAGTCTAGCAAAGGAAGTAAAAGACCTCTACATTGAAAACTATAGTACTCTGAAAAAGGAGATTGAAGCACATACGAGAAAATGGAAAGAGCCCTTCCTCTTGGATAGGGAGAATGTAATGAAAATGACCATACTTCCAAAACTGTAATACAGATTTAGTGCAGTCCTGATCAGAATTTCAATAGCTATCTCATATTTGGAGAAAACAACTCTAAAATTAATTTGGAACTAGGCAGCAAAGGCAAGGGATCCCTCCAGTTCTTTCTTCCATGTGTTCTGCAGTGTCATGTAGAAAGTACGGTTGCAGTGAAGCGGGAAGAGGTTTGGAACATTAGAAGGTTATTAATGTGTAAAAAAATTCTGTACTTCAAGGTAAACCAAAGGGCCAGCTTAGGCAAGTGCAGGAACTGGAGTGATCCCTGGTCCCATGCCAGCCCTGGCCCCGCCCCTGCCCCAGGCGTGGTGACGCATACCTGTAATCCCAGCACTGGGGAGGCTGAAAACAGGAGGATCACTGCGAGTCCAAGCTGCATAGTGAGACCCTGTACCAACTACATAAATTAAAAAGAAACACCAAACAGCCCACTAGGAAAATGAAGCAAAGAGCCCCAGCTGAAGCAGCTTTTTATAGAAGGAATTCAGATGGCTACCAGAGTGACGTGGGAAGATGATGCACGTCGTGGATCTGTGGGAAGCCGAGAAATGGAAGCGCTGGCTCTGCTCAGCTGGGCAGAAGCCAATGTCTGGTGGTGCCTAGTGCCAGCAAGTTGCAGGCAGGGACACGGGCGCCCACACATGGGCAGCAGATGGCACTACCTTGAGCTCGAGGGACAGGACACCCCCCTGAGGGACTTGGCCCTCACGGTGCAGAGTGTGGTTCTCACGGTAGGGCCTTAGCACTTTCTCACGCATTTTTCTTTGTTATAAAAATCATTCCTATTGCTGTGTGTCATCACAGACACTAAAACAGAATGTGAGAAACTTTAGAGCGCATATTTAGTAATTTAAAAATAGTGTAGCTCATTGGTAGAGTCTTTGCCTAGTATGTGTAATTCATGTTAATATAAATAATAACCAGGCATAGTGGCAGCTGAGACAGGAGGATTGCTGTAAGTTCAAGGTTAGCCTGGACTACATGGCGAGTTCAAGACTACCCTGAACTACATAACAAACAACAATAATAATGTCCTTATGAATGCTACGCCCACACTTAAGTAGTAATTAAGGTAGTTGCCCCTGCATGGTGGTACGGATGTGTACTCCCCATATCGAGGAGGCTAAGGCAGCAGACTGTCATGAGCTTGAGTACAGCCTGAGCTCTGTAGTGAGTTCAGAGCCATCATGGATTACATGGTGAGAGTTTCCACAAACAAACAAGAAAAACTGAACTACAGGTATTAATATCACAGATTCATCAGGGAAGTTTGCATACATGGAAGCTCCTGATAGCACATACAAGTTCTACAAAATTCAGTTTTTCTCTTGATAGCTTAGCATGGTGTTCTAATGACAACAAATGCAGTTGATTTGTTTTGCACGGAAGAGACAGCTTTTTTTCTCTCATTCCTAAGCTTGCTTTGATTGTTTTCAAAAAGTATATATCAATCCTGTACAGCAATTAACCACTAAGCAGAATATATGCAGTGTATTATTTGTTGAAACTGTACTTCCGATTTGATTTAAAACTGTCTCATTGGGCTGGTGAGATGGCTCAGTGGTCTAAAGCACCTACTTAGAACAAGCTTAGCAAAGAACAGGGACCGCGGTTCAATTCCCAGCACCACATACCAGCCAGCCCCGCCCCCTGGTGGGCTGAGCTGGCCACACACACGCACACACACTTATAAAAAAATAAAAAATAGGGGCTGGCGAGATGGCTCAGTGGTCTAAAGCACCTACATGGAACAAGCTTGGCAAAGCACAGGGACCACGGTTCAATCCCCCAGCACCACATGCCAGCCAGCCCGCCCCCTGGTGGGCTGAGCTGCCCCCCCCCACACAAAAATAAATAAATAAATTAATTAATTATAAAAAAGTCTCATTGCTATCTGTTTATCAATAAAACTTTGAAAAAAAAAGTATATCAGATTCTCAACTTGATTCATCTGTAGTTTGCCTATCAGTTTACAAATAAAGGTGGATAGTTTATTGTACCATACAGATAATAAAAGTGGGCCTTTTCTGAAGAAGGTCACTGCATTTTTGTTAAAGGAGCGAAAGTACTCTATCCATAAATTAGGGTGGATGTGCTCAAAGTGTACACGAGTGCGTGCCTGCCCTGGCTTGTTTTCGCCCGTGGCCTGCTCGGTGAGGGGCAGTGCAGTCACTGCGCTTAACCCAGCGTTTGTGCACCATTTGATTTGATTGGCTGGCAGCGGGCACTGGGAAACTGTGTTTTTGTTGTTATTTTGGGTTTGAACCCACAAGTGCTTTGTCACTCGGCTGATTACATGCACGTCTGTCTATACAAAATACATATGTACCATTGTGCTGTATATATTTTTTGAGATTATTTCACATCTGTTCCTAAACATTTTGATTATTAGTGTCATCCATTAGGTGTATCAGATTTTATAGATCAGTTACATGTTCGTATGCATATTTTATGTACATTGCAAAACTTCTAATAGTGGAAACATTGTTTAGAGGTTATCTGCATTAACCTCTAAGTGGTTGTCAGTTTCAACTTAAACCGGCTGGAGTGTTTGAGAGTAGTGTAGTACGTACATCAGGCTTGGGAGATGCTGCTATCAAGTGTGAGTTTCCTCATGTGTACAAACATCTCTGGTGCGTATGATGCTAATAGTAATACTTGATTTTTAAGTTTCTAAACTTTTTTTTATTAGTATGTCTTGGCAGTATATGATAACTTTCATTGTGGAGAGTTGGTACTTGGGTACATGTACGTAAGACATCTTTTTATTTTTCTTCTTTTTTGAGGTGAAGTCTTGCCCCTTAACCTGGTAGGCTGGTTGAAACAATTCTGAGACTACCATAGTAATTTTTAAATCAAAAAGTTTATACTTAGAAAAACTAGCTAACATAAGCAAAATCAGTAGAGAACAGAGCAAAAAAATCGTGCCAGTGTTCTGCAAAGACTTGTGTGCTGTGAAATTGTACGAGAAAGCATAAAGGAAGTGATATCTGCTGTCCTCCATGAAGGATTTGATCCTGACCACAGGTCACTGAGACAGGTGTCAGTCTGCCCATGTCACAGTTGAAGAAAACAGGGAAGGCTTAAGGGTAGAACTTTCATATTTTGAAATCTAGAATTAACTTACTGTGCCAGTCCTAGAAGTACAGGCTAGGCTTTGATTTCCAGAGCTGGCTTTTCCTTGGAAACAGCCCAGCAAACCTGTCATCTCCACAGTGGAACGAGGCCAGAAGATCAGTGAGCAGATCGTCATCGGCACCCCTGGGACCGTCCTGGACTGGTGCTCCAAGCTCAAGTTCATTGACCCCAAGAAGATCAAGGTGTTTGTGCTGGATGAAGCCGACGTGATGATCGCCACACAAGGCCACCAGGATCAGAGCATCCGCATCCAGAGGTAGGCGCTGGGCCAGGGCCGCCTCTTGCTCCCGTGGGGCTCTCTCCTCTGGGCGATGCAGCAGCTTTGGCTTGTGGGTCACTTCTGCCTCAGCACTGACCGCACTCCCAGCCCAGGCTGTGACAGGAGTCAGGGACCGAGTGCTGCCTCTGTGCCTCCTGGGTCCGCTACTCTTCCTCTACCTGGCTCTGGGCCCCTTTGGCCTGCTGTGCTTAGATTAGAGCCCATCTGAGTGGGGGGCTAGGCCTCTGCTCCTTGTGGTGACGCCCAGGGGCCTTGCAGAATGCTGCCCAAGAACTGCCAGATGCTGCTTTTCTCTGCCACCTTCGAAGACTCTGTGTGGAAGTTTGCCCAGAAAGTGGTCCCAGACCCCAACATCATCAAACTGAAGCGTGAGGAGGAGACACTGGACACCATCAAGCAGTATTACGTCCTGTGCAGCAACAGAGATGAGAAGTTCCAGGCCTTGTGCAACCTCTATGGGGCCATCACCATTGCGCAGGCCATGATTTTCTGCCATGTGAGTAGCAGCTGGGCCAGCGCGGCTGCCCATCCCCTCCCTGGGCAGCTCCACTGTGTGGGAGAAGGAAAGTGGTTTGTGACGAAGGAAGGGACAGTTTGTGTTAGCAGCATTTTCATATGACAGTGGTTTCTCTTGTGATAGCCTTCCTGCAGTCCTACCTCAGCGTCCCAAGTAGGTGGATTGCAGGTGTGCACCACGACGCCTGTCTGTACGAGTAGCATTCTGAGAGGTGCCTAGCTGAACTATGACGCTTCCTGAGCCGCATGCCTTGCTGATGAACGTGGTGCTATTGGAGAACCTAAAAGAAACTGTTATTTTAGGAAATAAATTTAGTAAGATGGTTATTAGTAACGTTTCCCAATGTTAAACAGGAAACACTTAGAAAATAGATGTTTTTTTTTTAATAGCAGGCGCAAATCTGAACATATATATAATGTATCTAGTAGTTTGTTTTTTGAGACAGGTTCTTACATATAGTTCAGGCTGGTCTTCAACTCACTAGTCTACTTTAGGCGATTCTCCTGCCTCAGTCTCCCAAGTGCTGAGATTATAGATTTACACTGTCACACATAGGCTGTTTGCTTTTTTGAGACAAAAGTCTTACTGTGTAGCCAAAGCTGTCCTTGAAGTTACCCTCCTGTCTCAACCTCCCAAGTGCTGACTAGTGGCATGGACCATCATGCCCAGCTAGAATAAATGTTAAGATCTCTGAAGAACATTTTAAAATAGTGTTAAGGGGGCCGGGGAGATGGCTCAGTAGGATAAGCGCTTGACTGGCAAATGCAAGGATCTGAGTTCAATCCCCAGTTCCGCAAAAAAAATAAATAAATAAAATAAAATAGTGTTAAGGGAGAAAATAGTGTTAAGGAATAATATGTTGTTGCAAAATTGTCTTGTTATTTTTAGTGCTATTTAGTTTTTTAAAGTAAAAATTCTGCTCTAGCCATTTGAAATAAAAACAGTCAAACCTACAAAAAAAGATAGACTAAAAGAATACATAAGCCTTCAGTTTGTCAGCATTTGGCCACTTGTGCCGTAATTATCCGCACCTCGCATGTGTCGGTGTTTTGCTTAGTTGTTGTGGTTAGCTGGAAACATGTAAACACCTAATCTTTCGCAACGAGAGATCTTCCCACATAAGCACACCTCATGCCTTTCACAAGGATCTGGAATGTTGTCCCGTGTTCTTCCCAGGTACCAGAGATGGAAACCAGGGATGCTGTACAACTGAGCTACGTCCCCATCTGGGGGGCATCTAGCCCTCGCAGAAGGGAACAGAATAGAGGGAGGGTGGAATGCACAGAAAGAAACCTGGGGTCAGGAGGCCTGAATGGTGATCTAGCAATTAAATTAATTTTGTTGTAATTTTATGTATAGAAAATCTTGGTCCTGTGTCTAACATTTGTCTCAGTTAACTAAACTTTTTAGTTTTTATGGGGATAGAAAAGGTTTTTAGGGCCAATATGATAAAACACAAGACTGTGTATTAAGGAACACTGAATTTGTCGCTGTGCCTGTTGTCTAAACTATGGGACAAGGAAGCTGGGCATGTTGCCTTGTTTTACTTGTTTAACAGACTATTTAGTAAAGTCAAGCCTTTTTATCTGGGCTCCAACATCTATCCCTTTTATTTGGTAAGATAGGGTCTTGCCAAATTGCTGGACTTCCTGCTTCAGCCTCCCAAGTGGCCCCTGTTACAGACCAGCACCACCATGCCCCGCTTTGTCATTACCTGAAACGCAGCCCTCTGACTATTTTTTCTGCATGTACAGGAGTGTTTCTTGGGGGCCGGGTAGATGGCTCAGTAGAGTACGTGCTTCCCTAGCAAGCCCAAGGGCCTGAGTTCAATCCCTGGTTGCGCCAAAAAAAAAAAGAAAAAGAAGAAGAAGAGTGTTTCTTACTGCTTTTTGTTGTGTTAAACCTCTGAGCCAATCCAGGCTTGTTCATTGCCTTTCACTGTGGTATCTCTTGAGACTCCCTTAGCCTGGAGCCGCTACTCCCAACTGCCTTTCAGAACATGGCCATCTTAGAGTCCAAGCTAAGAGTCTTGTGTTATTCCCCCTTTTCCCACTTTTGATTGATCTAGGTTCAGTTGTATGTATACGTGTACATACGTATGTGTGTGTCTCTGTTGGGTGCTGGGCACTGAACAGTGGATCTTCACACTGAGCTGCATTTCCTGGCACTTACTTGTTGTTTGTGTGAGCATATTATATCTCCACATCATTTGTTTTCTGGTTTTTGTAGAGACAGTTAAGTTGCCTGGGGGGAGCTTGATTTGTGATTCTCCTGCCTCAGCCTTCCACAGGGCTTGGCTTACAGGTGCTTGCCTGCTTGTTTATCTATACAGACAATACCAAGGACTGAATCAAGGCCCTTCACACTTGAGCTACAACCCCAGTATTTTCTTGTTTTATTTTTAACAACAGGCTCAAAGATTTCCTTGAAGGAGAAAAGGCATGATCTCCTGCAAGTTTAGAGAGGGCCAGCATGGAGACTGCACAGTCCTCATTTCCTTTTTCGAACAGGATCTCCGTTAGTGGCCTTGGCTAGACTGGTCTTCCTGCATCAGCCTCCCAGACTGCAGGGATTACAGGTGTGCACTACCATGCCCAACTAGGTTTAATACCTTTGTAGTGTAACCCCAGCACAGACACACATTCTCTTGCACATCAGGTTGGTGATTTTAGGACATTTAACCCTTTATTGTTAAGTTTCAGGTCATCTTCCATATCAGAGTCCTTTGAAGTACTCTGCTTTCTGACAACACTTTTCCATCCAGACCCGCAAAACAGCCAGTTGGCTGGCCGCAGAGCTCTCAAAGGAAGGCCACCAGGTGGCTCTGCTGAGCGGTGAGATGATGGTGGAGCAGAGGGCTGCAGTGATTGAGCGCTTCCGAGAGGGCAAAGAGAAGGTG